CACTGGCGGCAGCCCGTAAATAAGTATAGATATAAGTGCACAAACAAAGCCTACTAAAGATACAGAGACACATGTAGACATGGAAGTAGATATAGAAAGGACATAGATCACTAAGCAAGGTTTCGTTCAGTTTGGCTCTCACAGCTTCGTTGGAGGTCCTTGCTACTCCAATTTGCATGACCCCCATCGGGCGGGTATATTGCCGATTGAACGCAAACACTTGTAGTGGAAGGCATCGAGACTGTTTAGTTGTGTCTCCGTTAGCCACAACGCGGACATGTTGTATACCAGACTGGATACAGCACACGTATAAAACCGTAGTTTGCGTATTTATTTCGGCTTCCGGACCGAAATTCTCACTTCCTGCTCTGGGGCAAAGAATCGGCTCGGAAAGAAGGCCTTGAGGCTCAGGTAAGCTTTTCTGTCTTTTGGAGTGGTTCGTCCCTACGTTGAGTTTTACACTTCGGGTGTCGCTTAGTTGGAAATTCAATTTTGTCGGGTCGAGCTTGGTTGGCCGCAGGCTCAAATCCTTCTAGATTTCGTTTCAAGCCTGAGACCCTCTGACGAGGACGTTCCCTCTCTCTCTTGAACTTGACTGGTGCCCCCAAGCAAATGCTCCGGTGTAAATCTTGACCCCAAACCTCTCTCAACACCAAATCAATGCCAAAATTCGTCTTTGCCCAGGATCAATACGAAAGTTCCCGAAGTAAGCCTGAACCACCCAAAACGAGCAACCGTATTTCTGACGGGGTCCCCAGACGCCCAAAAAAAAAAAAACTGTTATCCAGGAGCGCCCAAAACAACAAGCCGAGGCATGTATGTATATGTAAGGTGCGATGACTTTTGAAAACGAGCGCGTCTGACCTTAACGTTGCAAAGCGCGCATGTCCATCGAGGGATCTATCAGCCGCTAAGTTCGGGCTGGCAGCCAGGCGATGCTCAACACATTCTGTGCTCATTCTGTTCTGGATGGGCTTTCCAAGACGCAGTACTGTGTCTCAGTCTGGCATGTGGCCGGGCATTGTCAGCAACTTGTATTTTGGTTTCTGGGCCTGCCGGACTGCCCCGAATCTGGATTAACATGAATGGCATTTACTCTGTTGTGTTCGCAGGAAATCGCAGAAAGTCAATTGTTCACCGTTATTCAGTATTACTCCACTCGCTCTACAGAGCACTTGCAGAGGCCACCTTGTGAAGAAACCCTCAAGATTCCAAGATAATACTTGATAAGGTATGCTGAAAGCGAAGCAGCAGCAAAGGCACGAATGAACATGACTCCCGTCGACATTAACAGAGGCAAAACACTGCCACATAAACAAGATTTGTTTGCTGCATGCTCTCAAACTGCAGCTGGACGTCTTTGCTGAAGCCACGGCGACTGCGTGACCTAGGAGACATTTACTGTTGAATAACTCTGTGTCTAGATCGCGCTTCTGATACAATCGCCGATGCCGCTAGCCAGAGCATCAGGATGGCTTACTGAAGCGAAGTGACAGCCAGCGCACACTTGGCACCTTGGCTTCGCCGGGGATTGACATGTTCACTCGACGCCGGCTCTGACCCGGTTCCCAACACAGAGCAACAAGTGTTGACACTTGACACATGTGCACTTGCAAGGCACAGCAGCGCTGCCATGGCTGGTTGGCGGTGCCGATGAAACTTCGAGAGCAGGCCCCGCACACACAGCCTGAGAAGAAACGCATCTCGGCCGGCTCTCCAAATGCTCTACAGCCTACAGATGTGTGTGACATGGTTTTGCACTGTTTCATTTGCAGCCACAACCAGATCTAGGTGTTGTCGCTGGCGCGTCCGGTTTCGGCAGAAGGTAGTCAGGCTCTTGGAACTTTGTCCCAGGCACGTCCACAGAACCTGCAGTGATGCCGAGGCCTCCAGAATCCTGAGCTTTGCCAGCTGGCTTCCAAACTCATCCATCCCAAAACACTAGAAGTACGACTCACTCCAGACTCCATGCGCCATCCTGCCAGCTAGGAACTCTTGCCCAAGGACGCGCAGCAAAGGCTGCAGTGCCTTGTGTTCGGCTCCCAAGCCTCCTCGTTCGCGCAGGTGCCTACATTCCAAGCACGATTCCGGGGGCAGGTTGTTGGAACAAGTAAAGTCATGGTCCGATGGTGGCTGGCCTGCCGTTTGGATGCCCTTGCCTTTTGCTGACGCTGGGAGCCCCTCCAGCCTGCAGTGCGGTAACGGGCCGGTACTGCCATGGCGAGCCCCTTCGGCCCCTTCGCACCGGTGCGGATGTTCTGGTGGTGAAAGATTGTGCAAAAGCTCACTTGCCTCGACACCGCCGCGGCACAGTCCTGCAGCGCCTCCTGTCTACTCCCAGGTAGTACGCACGTTGCTCCTATACGAGTTCCGGCAATTCTGAACACTTCCTCCAGGCTGGCTGGCTGCAGCCGGCCGTCCTTCGATGTGCAAGTACCCATTCAGTCTACGCTCGTCACAAGAATTGGTTCATCATGTGTGCAACTCGACAACATAAATCCGCTCAGCGTCCTTTTCGCCGGTCGAAGCTGCACGGGTGTCACAGTGTTCCTAGAGCATGTCTGGTAACTAGGACCTAGGACCTACACATGCCGGGGACAAACGACACCTGCCTGCTGGTCGAGCCATGAAGCCACCCGCTTGTGCAAGCCTTAATTTGGATTTCACAAAGACTTTCTCTTGGCTGTGGATTCCATGTTGTCCCAGCACTCCTCCCCGCTATTTAATGCTGGTAGTGCTGGAGCTTCCCGTGTGACCTGGCTTTTTGTGAGCCGCGCCTGCTGTTGCGCATTGCACATGGCCCTGCATTCCCTCACGGGGCCGGCTTTCGGGTGCTTGCCTTCGGCTGGCAGCGCTGCGTACCGCAGTCCCTGACATCTGGCATTCCTGCCTCAGCATGCTCCTCGCTACAATCCCCCCATGCTCCTCACCGACTGTTCTACTTGCTTCCCTTCTCTCTCCCTCTCCGGCCTCAAGGGTAGCACATGCAGCTTCGCACGCAATCGCCCAGTGCCCTGTCCCCTGTCTCCCTGTCCGTAAAACGAATTCTGCATTTACGGTTTTTTTAGTGCTTTTTTCTGGCCGTAGGTGACCAGCAGCATGCACACAAACACGGGCGCCATAAAAAAAGCTAGCTCCGAATACATACACCCCATGAGCCCGCCCTTCGCCCCGGTTCTGTTTAGCCTTACAAACAGAGTTGTCACCAAGTAAAACTGTGTTTTGCCGTTGCTGTGGGGAGGTATGTTGTTTTGCTGTTGCGGCCAGGGGTGGTTGTTGTTTTGCTGTTGCCATCAGAGGATGGCTTTGCTGTTGGGGAAAAGGAGGTGGTTTGGCTGGGAGGGGGGTTGCTGTTGCTGTTGCTGCGGGGATGTGGGTTTTCATTTGCTGTCAAGTCGGGAGAGTGTTTGTTACTCTGCGTTGGGACGAGTTCTTTTTATTTGCTATCAGTTGGAATGGGATGTGTGTTTTTGATGTTGGGGCCGGCCTGCCGGAGCTTCCGCAAAACAAGTCGCAACTGCCGAGAAAAAAGCACTGCCGTTCCTAGCGGGTATGGGCTTCAGGGAACTGTCAGAACAGAACGTGTGCGCGGCTCAGCCTGCGGTGGAGTTGTCTCAAGCACTTCGGCCGCCGTCTTTAATTGAACGCCGCGCATTTGTTCTCGCTCGTTGCTCTCCGCAGCCGTAGGCCCCGCGTACACCTAATTGAAAACCCCGGATGGACGCCATCCGCTGGGTGCCCTGATTCCTTTGGAAACAGGTTAGACCTCTACTCGGTCCAGCTGGCCCCTCCGGAGGATTCTTCCATCCCGAAAATGAGCCATGCCCTGGGAGGCTAGCAGCTTTCCTTAGGGCCCAGCCCTTATGGCAAAGTCCGTGAACATCTCATCGAGGTCACGTCGCCGGCGACTCTGGATCACCGAGAGCACTCTGGGGCAGCGGGAGCTCAAGTACCGCTCAAAGCCACTCCCGCAGGCCCACGCAGGAACTCCGGTGATGGACCAGCCGGCTAGGTCGTACAGCATCAGGGTGCCATCCTCGCGCCCAAGTCCAACTTCCGAGGCCGTTATGTCACTCAGCTGCAAACCCCGACTGCGCAGCCAGGTGATTGCCGCTTCGACATAAAAATGCCAGTACTCAAAATCTTGCGCCTCCAGTTCGCGAACCCACGGATCCGCCTCCCGCACCCTCTCCTGGACTATAGGCAGTGAACGACCTGCCTTGACGCTGAGGCAGAGTGCGGATCTTCTAGCTTCACTACCAGTCACTACCAGTGGGCCTGAGTGAAGAACTAACGCACAGACCTCTCTCAGCTTAGCACTCAGGAGCTCTTCTTCCCCGTGGTCATAAGCCACAGTCGTCAGTTTGATGACGTACTTTCCCTCGGGCCAAGAGGAGGTCACTCGGGAGTTCCCTTTGCCAATGCGTTGCATGGCCACCTCGTGCCGAGGCACTTTGTTGGTAAGCGGGCGCCTGCAAACTGTCATTTCCCTGCCAAACCAGTGGTGAATCAGCCTTGGCCTATTCCGGTTCTTTTCCATGGCCATTCGGATATGGAATTCCGGTAGCCCATAGGGGGGTTGATGCAGAGAATCCTCCCGCTTCACACCTTTTTGTCTCAGCTCTGACACGGAGCGCAGAAAGATCTCGTCCCCAAGGCGCTCTTCCTCCCTTTCCGAAGGCTGGTCACCAACTGACCCATGTGGCAGACGATTTGGCGCTTCCGCTTTCGGGCGCGGGATGAGCACTCTCCCCCACACCCTGCTTCGGACTCCCAGGCCTCCTGAGGTGCTCCTCGCCTGCAGGAAGCAGTCTCCGCCCCTCTCTCAGCTTGCCAAGCTTAGCCTCCCGACTCGGGGCAAGTGGTGGAGGCGTCACTCCGCTAGGAGTCTCTGAGACTGCTGGGGCCGCTTCATCGATTTCCTTTTCTTCTAGGACGAGGCCGAGGCGGGAACGCCGTCCCTCCCGCCGTCTTGGCTTGCAGAAGCCTCTGAAATTGCTAGGGAGCAGGCCCGTGCATCTGTTCGAATTTCACACTCGCACAAGACAGGCAAGGCTCCACATTGTTCCGTCACGGTGTTTAGCCTTCCACCTTTCCAGATCTCTTCTCCGATGGGCATTTCAGACGAACTGTTCAAGAAACATGTGCTCAGCTGTTGGCCGCCTGTCTATCACTGAATCACGTACAGCAGATTCTGGATGGTGTTCATGCAATGCAATTCATCCTTTGTCACTCGAAGATTCTCGAAGATTCGCGATGCAGCGGCACCATGCAAGAGGTTGCATGGTTGCAGAACTCTCCCATGCGAAGATTTGGGAACGTGTTTGTGATGTGTCACCCCGACTCCCGACACCACCCTAGCCTTTTTTGCTGTGATCGTCGTACGTCTCTGCGAGGCTTCCTTCTAGCTTTGCGATCAGGCCTGCATGCAACACTCACAGCTTTGCGTATGGCTCCGTACATTTAATTTTTCCCTCTCGCATTGCAGAGATCAAAGCTCACACGAATCTGCACTCGCTGAGGAGGCTGCGGGTAAGTTGGCAATCTTGTCAGCAGCTGTTGCTCATGTCAAACCCAAGACACGGAGGGTTGGGACGGTTGGGAGTGCAAATAGCTCCCAGAGTGACGCACGCAGCTCTGTATGTAGATTCGCTCACCTCGTTATCTCATCCGTGGCTACACTCTCATGGTAGCAGCGCTAGAATCCAAGGCAAGCAGAAGTAAAGAAACAGCACCAGTAATGATAAAATAGCTTGTTGTTGCAAAATCCCGTAGTTGGTTTAGCAATCTCAGGTGTAAAGCAAACGTACGATGCCGGCCCATATGAGGCCCGTGCCGCACAGCATTCGTAGAAGCAGTAGTAGTAGTAGTAGTAGTAGCAGTAGCAGTAGCAGTAGTAGTAGTAGTAGTAGTAGCAGCAGCAGCAGGTAGCAGTAGCAGTAGCAGCAGCAGCAGCAGTAGTGGTAAACAGTAGCAGTAGCAGTAAGAGTAGCAGCAGCAGCAGGAGGAGCAGCAGCATGAAATAGTAGCAGTAGCAGTAGCAGTAGTAGTAGTAGTAGTCGTCGTCGTCGTCGCCGTCGTAGCAGTAGTAGTGGTAGTAGCAGTAGTAGTAGTAGTAGTAGTAGTTGTTGTTGTTGTGGTAGTAGCAGTAGTAGTATGTGGTGGTAGCAGTAGTCGTCGTCGTAGTCGAAGTAGCAGTAGCAGTAGCAGTAGCAGTAACAGTAGCAGTAGCCGTAGTAGTAGTAGTAGTAGTAGTCGTCGTCGTCGTCGTCGTCGTCGGAGTAGTAGTAGTAGTAGTAGTAGTAGTAGTAGTAGTAGTAGTAGTAGCAGTAGCAGTAGTAGTAGCAGTAGCAGTAGCGGTAGCAGTACCAGTAGCAGTAGGAGTAGTAGTAGTAGTAGTAGTAGTA